CCTACAGCCCTAACCTCTCCTTCTGACTACTGGCTGTTCAGCCACCTGCAGCGCTCTCTGGACGGAAAAAAGTTCGAAACAAAGGATCAGGTCAGAAAGGCACTCGACGACTTCTTCAAGTCCCAGCCCCCGTCGTTCTGGAAGGAAGGAATCGACAAGCTGCCTGAGCGCTGGCGTCGAGTAGTGGATGGTGATGGTGCATACCTCTAATCTTCAGGTTGGTTCGCTATTGAGATATTTACGAAAAAGTCGTGGCCAAGAACTTATGCGCCAACCTAATACCTTGCAGTGAACTGGGCATCAAGGTGCTGGAAGGGAGTCGTACCAACTGCCTGATTACACCACTTGCAACGCCTCTCTTGTCACCGTTGCTCCATCTTCGACCCTGCTTAGCTGCTAATAAGAAGCCATTGTGTTTGCTTAGAACAATGTTAAAAATCGCCTTATGTAAGCGAACCGATTGTTCGATTGTATCCAACGACGGCCCGTCATTGCAAGTCTCATCCCGATTACTGTGATACCTACGGTCTAATTCGCTGCGGACGAGGGTGTGTCGGGCGGGATGAGTTTGGCGCGGTGTCAAATCCGTTCTGCACCAGTCGTTGAAGCGAGGAAGTGACAAGACACTGTCGTATTGTTCGTATCGTTTTCTACCAATTGTTATCGCATACCTGCTTCAATGACAGAGAGAGGGCCGTGGTATACTTATACTGCTTGACACACTCCTTCATCCGCAGCAAATTAGAATTTATTCGCATCGAATGGAATTAGAATTTATTCGCTATACTCGTCTGAATTAATCCTTCATCTAGGGCGGCGCGTTCAGACTTCACGACGCCGCGCGTCCACGCGCTGTACAGCGCAGTAACGCGCTACCAGTGCAAGTGCGCTCCAATGCTACAGTACCATAGCCTCTTTGCTTGCCTTTAATATTTTACGCTTTTTTTAGTTTTAATTCCTACTTTATCTTGAGCTTTTTTTGACTTCCAATCTCGAAGCAGTTATGGATATTGGGTACGTTTTCACGTCTTGTTGATGGCCCAATATAGAGCTTATTGTTCTCAATATGTACGGTAGCGCGAAAATTATGGAAGTTTTAGATGTATTTCAAGTGGTATATCCGAAAGAGCCCGGTGTCTAGTGCCATTTTCTTGTGGTTGTTTTCCTAGTGCTATCAACATTAGGCAGCGTGGGCTAAGAAAGTGAGACTTGATACTGTTTTTATTTAAACTCACCTCACCATCAGCCTTATATAGGGTTCTGAACAATCCCCATTGAAGGCTTGTGAACAGTGCTTGGAATGGAATGAGAGCAATTTCGTAATCGGGTGAGTGAGAACAATATAAGGCGTAACATGCATGACAGCACATCAAAGGCGAATAAGTACATAGATATTGAATGTCAAAGCCAAAACGAGAAGCTGACAATGAACTAGAAATGGAGAACAAATAAAAAAGCGTGAAGTGTCAAAGAAAAGCATGTAAATAGAGGCTGGGGGTATAGAATTGGAGCGCGCTTGTAATTGCAGAGCGTTTCAGCGCGTCACAGCGCGTCGAAGCGCTGCGCCGGGCGATATCGCTAAGTCTGAACGATGCCTACGTCAGTCTGTACACGATATTGATTGTTGGACCATGGGTACATGGGTATTCGAGCGCGATCACTATAATTTATCATTTCTGGGAACAGTGAAATGCTTGTTAAGATCATTGGATGTGAATGGAGTGATGAAACCCGTCAGATCATGAAGAAACAGTTTGAATTCTGTGTGAGCAGAGAATTCGTTCCTGCTCTTGACGAGGATATTGTTCATTTCCGTTTTTATCCGGTCTGTGACGAAGAAGGGTGCGACATACCTCAGCTTTATATCGCAGTTATAAGCATCAACGACAGAGTCGAAGAGGTTTGTGCAATTGTTGCTTGTGGTCTTTTACGCCGCTTCCATATTCCACGAATGTGATGAATCCGCGAAAAGGGAGAACCCATATGTCGGGAGAATGCAGGAATCGAGAGATGCGCTCTCCCGATTCGCGCAATCTTCCAAAAAGCTAGTGAGCGGATCCAATAAATCCCCATGATTCCGTGACCGCGGGTTATCTCGACTCGCGTAGTTTCCGAATTTGAGCGTTCTCCCGAATTCGCTCTGATCATAGATTCCGCAGATTCACCATGTATGATTGGGGAAGTGAGGGCAGGGTCTTGTTGCAAGGAACACAGGGAAGTGTTGCGCTCAAATTGAGCCCTGCCCTCTCCAATCAAGCTTTTATCACTCTGTAGGTGAATAATTGATTTGGAGGTAAAAATGCTGGCTCGTTCATCTGCTGAAACCATAAGTCATGGTGAAGGCCCAATACACAAACAGCTGCCGTGCCCCCTGTTAACTTTTGGTGGAGAGTAGGCTGGCACCAGCGTCGAGTCCACCACCCCCCCCCCCTGGCCGAAGCATTTGTGGCAATAACAATATTCTAGCGCGCCCTGTCGATTTTTACCTTTCAGCATACGGGGATTTAACGCCTTTCAGGTATACCAGCTTTCATCAGGCCGTTTTTATTACGCGAATGGTAAAAACGTAATGCAGACGAGCTCAATCAATGAGGTATGATTGGATTCTGCTTTATTTCTGGAAATGTACATGCATAACTTCTAGGTAGTAAAAAGAATCACCCATTATGAAACTCAATCAGTGGATGGGCGGCAGCGTTCAGGCACGGTTTTGAGGTGCGACATTTTGCTCTCAGCGCAACATTGCTTAGACTGCATTCATACACTGCGGCAGCGTCCGCTAGCGACCAATGGTGTCCACCGGTTTTTCGAGCGTCCGGCAGCGTCAAGCGACTAAGAAGGTTCAAAAATAGATCCACCTTCTGCCAGTGTCCACCAGCGTCTACCAGCAAGCAGCAGTCCGGGAGTGGAGAGTGTGGCGCGATAGGAGGGTAGTAGACAGCTGGTAGACCGTAGGGAGATAGAGGGTGACAGGAGGCTGGTACCTTTCTATCGCCCACTGCTCTCTGCTAACAGTCAGCTTTTGGTCGCTGGTGGACGCTGCTAGACGTTGGCAGACGCTGGCCGACGCTAGATCCTATAGACCTACATTTCCAAGGAAGAGAGATAAGCTTTTCTGATATTCTTATACTACGAGAAGTTTCCTATCAGATGATATATAACTTGCTTGCAAAACATTTCACTTTTCGAACAAATTTTTCAATTGAAAAAAACGGCCATTACTTATTAGCCAACCTAATAGAACAAAAAAATAGGCCTTGTCCGACATTTACGTTCGGACAAGTGACACATAAAAACCCTGGCGGTATTGTGAAATTTCGTCAAATAGGGATTTCAAACCTCCAGCCTATTGCTCTCACTTTCTTCGGCTTTCCTGGAAGTGCACAGCGAAAACGAACTGCATCTAGTATTCCCGTTTGAACCTCTACAACACGCAACAAAGCGTTCCAGAAATAGGCTCCCTGACCTGAACGAAACCCCCCCCCATCCCCTTTCCAGTGGCATTGACAGAGCTGACCAGTTGTGAAGAACTTACTCTTCTCGTCGGAAAGCACTATGTACATATGTACATATTGCTGCTATTAGGGTGTCCGGAAAGTTTCGAGAAATTTCAGCCAGCTTATTTAACACTTATCAACAAGAATACGAGATAGTAGTTAATCCTTACATTCTATAAACCACTAATTCTGTGTGTCGGTTTGTCGGTTATGTAATGGTATGTATGTGATGTAGTCGTCCTCCGCCAAATGCTTTACGGGATTAAACACGAGTCGTCAGTGAAGGAGAGTATGACGACGCTAGCCGGTGGCGAAACCAGTTGGTGCAGATGTATCAATCCAATGTTTTGATTGTGATAACACCCTGCACTATATAAGAGAACCATGTAGTGCACTCCAAATCATTGCACGAGCTGCTCGCGTGGCAGGTGGACGTGAGCACGTGCAGCGGCAGGGATGGGGAGTGGGTGGGGCAAGTGGGAGTGGTGAGGGTATAATGTGGGTGGGTGGGATTAGTGAGGGAGAGTACGGGAGGGGAAGCGTATAGTGCGTTTAGTATAAACTCATCACCAGTGTGGTAATAAAAGCGCCAATGAAAGCGATAAGATGAATAGAGGAAGGATCAACCGCTAGCAGAGTCGCGAATAAAATCCATGTTTTGGTATCACTTTGGGGCAATGTGTGATTGTTTACAACCTCACTATGTAAAAGAATCATGTAGTGCACTATAAGTGAGCTACTCGCATGAACATATTGATCAAAGATTGTTGACTATCTGTATAAAAGAAAAGCCGGTGAGGGGATAGATAAGCGCGGCGGTGCCCGCTCAGCAAATCCATTCTTTATCTCAGAAGTAAGAATCGTGGGCAGGCATTCAGCACGGCAAAGCCGCTGTTAGTTCATAATAAATATTGTCCATCCTATGTCCTACTTTTGGGCGGGATTACCTAGACAGCAAGGCGAGTAACCGAAGAATGAGGGGGCGTAACGCAACATCTAAGCTATAACTTCGTATGGGAATGTAGGAGACCGATTGATCTCTAGAACAGATAATTTCAAAGCGCATTTTATTCAGTATTAGAGGCGGTTCCTCATTCCCGATTTGACCGACAGAGGAGCGAGAACGGCGAAGATGAAGTAAAAGGCGTTGGGAGTCGTGCGTGCTCGTACATTTTCAGGTAATGTCAAATCATAGCAACAACAATGGAGAATAATAACAATAAGCATTAGTATTGATCTAAAAACATTTCTCTCTCTCACAGCACTTGAATATATATACCATTTTCACTTTAAATCGGACACTTTTCAAACCAAATCGGACACTTTTCAAATCAAATCGGACACTTTTCAAATCAAATTCGGACACTTTTCAAACTCAAATCGGACACTTTTCAAACAAATCGGACACTTTTCAAACCAAATCGGACACTTTTCAAATCAAATCGGACACTTTTCAAACCAAATCGGACACTTTTCAAACCAAATCGGACACTTTTCAAACCAAATCGGACACACCCCTTACAATTAGGTGGTTGATAAATAGACCACACTAGGTATTGTTGCAAGCCCCGCCCCATTATCCCCGCCCACTTCTCAGCGCGGATAGGGTTCTCCGAGATGCTTCATGAAATCTGCTCCCTCGACTTTTTTCGTTTTTGCCCTTTGCACACACACTTCAACTGAAAAAGATTGATACCTATACAGATCTGACTCCGCCCACTTAACAATGAAGTTACGTAAGCTCTGAATTTATATAACTTTTTTCGACGTAGTTCTTTTCACATCCAATCTTCACAAAACAAATAACCATGCACAGCACACCAGGCCCCGCCCCTCTGACCCCGCCCACTTGTGTTTATCGCGGAATTTTGGTTTTTCTTCCGGATTTGTGCTTTTTTAGGCTATAGCGATTGGCTCCGCCCACCAATGGAAGCTCCGCCCACTTTGGGGAAGCCCCGCCCACTTCGAAAAGATGCAAAATCGGCGGAGCTAGTAATCCGACTGGACACTAGCCCGCCGATTTGCATCATTTTCGAAAAGTGGGCGGGGCTTCCCCAAAGTGGGCGGAGCTTCCATTGGTGGGCGGAGCCAATCGCTAAAGCCTAAAAAAGCGAAAATCCGGAAGAAAAACCAAAATTCCGCGATAAACACAAGTGGGCGGGGTCAGAGGGGCGGGGCCTGGTGTGCTGTGCATGGTTATTCGTTTTGTGAAGATTGGATGTGAAAAGAATTACGTCGAAAAAAGTTTATATAAATTCAGAGCTTACGTAACTTCATTGTTAAGTGGGCGGAGTCAGATCTGTATAGGTATCAATCTTTCAGTTGAAGTGTGTGTGCAAAGGGCAAAAACGAAAAAAGTCGAGGGAGCAGATTTCATGAAGCATCTCGGAAAACCCTGTCCGCGCTGAGAAGTGGGCGGGGATAATGGGGCGGGGCTTGCAACAGTACCTAGTGTGGTCTAGTTATCAACCACCTAATTGTAAGGGGTGTCCGATTTGATTTGAAAAGTGTCCGATTTGGTTTGAAAAGTGTCCGATTTGATTTGAAAAGTGTCCGATTTGGTTTGAAAAGTGTCCGATTTGATTTGAAAAGTGTCCGATTTGGTTTGAAAAGTGTCCGATTTGATTTGAAAAGTGTCCGATTTGGTTTGAAAAGTGTCCGATTTGATTTGAAAAGTGTCCGATTTAAAGTGAAAATGGTATATAATTCTCAGTTTTGGCCATTCGCTGCTAGACTTTCTTCAAACTAAAGTATGAAATTTTCTCGAAACTTCCCGGACAACCTAATGCTATACAAAATGCATAAGACGCATGTCATAATTTTATGTAATACAGAAAAATCATTTCTATGAGGAGATAGGCGAGATAGAATTGTGTGAGAACATAAAGCTGCGTTGAAGAACTTGATAAAGTCGATCACCAGTGAAGTTGATAAACGTTAAAAGCAAAGGGGAAACGTTGCTAAGCGAAGCGAGCAGGATACGATTCTCTGTCAATAACAAGAGTAATCGACAATCCGGGAGTCCGTACAGTGCAACACGCGAAATGAACCATGTAGTGAAAGACCCATCAAGATCGATTGAGTCACCAAGACAAGGAGTCCATCTGAAAAACGCTCCGCATAGCTAAAACTGCCTTCATACTTTGCGGCAGCGACCACCAGCAACCAGTAAAATTTGGGATAGTACAGACATTAAACTGGACCAGCGACAAGCAGCGTCTCCAGGGCTAG